GGACCCTGGGAGCCCCAGGAGGCCCCAGAGAGCTTCAGGAGGTCGCAGGACGCCCAGGACAGGCCCCAGGGGTCCGCAGGAGATTCCCAGGAGGCTCCCAGGAGGCCCCAGGAGGCCCCCTATCAGAACGTGTCCAGTTAATACAAATCCGGTGTCGATTCGTTGATTTTTCCTGCTCTTGTGGCCCCCTCCCCATTTTGGGGGGCCCCGACGGCCACATGTTAGATATCCCCCCCTGGGAGCCCCAAGAGGCTTCAGGAAGCCCCAGGTGGGGTCCAGGAGGCCACAGGAGGCCCAGGAGGAAGCCCCAGGAGGTCACCAGGAGGCCCCAGGAGGCCCCAGGAGGCCCCCGCAACTCGGAGCTCTGAGACGCCGCGCTCGAGGTGGTCCGGCCCGTTTCGCCTGAGACTTCCTCGCAGCACGTTTCGCCCGAGACATCGTCGCAACTCTGGGGTCCGAAATGCCGCGCGCGAGGTGGTCCAGCCCGTCACGCTGGAGACATCATCGCAACTCTGGGCTCCGAGATGCCCTGCGCGAGGTGGTCCGGCCCGTCTCGCCTGAGACATCCTCGCAACTCTGAGCTCTGAGATGCCGTGCGCAAGGCGGTCCAGCCTGTTTCGCACAAGACATTCTCGCAACTCTGAGCTCTCAGGTGCTGCGCAAGAGGTGGTCCAGCCTGGGGGCTTAGAAGACCACAAGACATGTGGCTCATAGGAGGTCCCAGAGAGCTTCAGGAGGCCGCAGGACGCCCAGGACAGGCCCCAGGGGTCCCCAGGAGATTCCCAGGAGGCTCCCAGGAGGCCCCTGGAGGCCCCCTCTCAGAACATGTCAAGTTAATAAAAAACCGGTGTCGATGCGTTGATTTTTCCTGCTCTTGTGCCCCCCCCCATTTTGGGGGGCCCCGACGGCCACAGGTTAGATATCCCCCCCTGGGAGCCCCAAGAAGAGGCTTCAGGAAGCCCCAGGTGGGGTCCAGGAGGCCACAGGAGGCCCAGGAGGAAGCCCCAGGTCACCAGGAGGCCCCAGGAGGCCCCAGGAGGCCCCCGCAACTAGGAGCTCTGAGACGCCGCGTTCGAGGTGGTCCGGCCTGTTTCGCCTGAGACTTCCTCGCAGCACGTTTCGCCCGAGACATCGTCGCAACTCTGGGGTCCGAAATGCTGCGCGCGAGGTGGTCGAGCCCGTCACGCTGGAGACATCCTCGCAACTCTGGGCTCCAAGATGCCCTGCGCGAGGTGGTCCGGCCCGTCTCGCCTGAGACATCCTCGCAACTCTGAGCTCTGAGATGCCGTGCGCAAGGTGGTCCAGCCCGTTTCGGCTGAGACTTCCTCGCAGCACGTTTCGCCCGAGACATCGTCGCAACTCTGGGGTCCGAAATGCCGCGCGCGAGGTGGTCCTGCCCGTTACGCTGGAGACATCCTCGCAACTCTGGGCTCCGAGATGCCGTTCGGGACGAAGAGGAGGTGGAGGAGGAGGAGGACGAGGAGCAGGAGGAGGAGGAGGAGGAGGAGGAGGCATGTTTTAACATGCCATGCCAGGCCGCACTGGACGGGCACGCAATCGACCTTGGAAACCGCAGTGGGTCTAAAAACCCTGATTGGGGATACTGCACTCCGGCTATATTTTGGGGTTCCAAAACAAATGTTCGTTACATCCGGCCAAACCGGACTCTCGCGCCGCATGTCGAAATCATTCGATCGCCGCTTTACGCGCGAGCTCGGAAAAAAAGGTGGGGGGGCACGATCCGTGTCAAAGCATACCATGCGGGCCACTCTCGCGCGTCGTCCGAAAGCGCATGTCGAACTCCTTCCAAAACCTTCATCGCCGACGCGAAGACGTCGTCATCGTCGCCGGCGTGAGCAGCATTTGCGCCGTCACTGGCCGTGCCGTCGTTGATACCACAATCGTTACCAGCATCGCTGCCATTACCATCGCGTCTACATTTGTCGACGTTGCCATGATACCGAACCCGCCCAAGTCGCCGACTCGCACTGGAGTACCAGCTGGGAAAAGCCCAGCGGTCAACGCCACCGTGGCCGCGTCGGTCGCGCCAAACTAGCCACCCGCTGCGCGCGCGAGCATGCGCGGGTTAGCGCGGCCGCAGTGATGCACCAGCCAACACAACACCACGCACTCATGGCAATCGCCGCCGCATTGATTTTGCAAACCAAGTTGCAGGTGGGTTGTTCGGATGATTGCGCAAGCAGTGGAGTTGGCAACTTCAAGTTCGGCAGGATGAATTGCACCCCGTATATTGCACCACGTAGCTTGCAACACATATATTGCGCCACATAGCTTGTGCCACATCGATTGCTTAACATAAACTGTGCCACGTCGCTTGCACCACGCATCTTGCACCACACATCTTGCACCATACATTTACCACCACATATATTGCACAATCTAGCTTACTCCACATAGGTTGCACCACATGACTTGAAACACATCTATTGCTTAAACCAGATTGCGCCAACGATACCTATACGACCACCCTTCGGGTGATAAGGAGGTTCGGGGGGGGTGGGACCAACGTCTCACTCGGTCGGTCTCACTATCGATCTCACGATCGGTCTCGCTCGATCGATCTCAGTCGACCGATCGCACAATCGATATCATTCGACTTATTTCATTCCACCGATATCACAATCGATCTGACTATCGATATCACAATCGATATCACTACCGATCGCACTATCGATCTCGACCTCACATTCGGTCTAACTATCGATCTCACGATCGATATGACAATCGATCTCACAATCAACGTCATCATCATCAACATCATCGTCATCAACGTCGTCAACATCATCATCATCGTCATCGCCATCATCGGGACACCATCATCATCATCACCAAAATCATCATCATCACCACCATCATTATCATCATAGGGACACCACCATCGTCACCATCAGCATCACCCACATCATTACCATCATCGGAAAATCATCATCGTCATTATCGGAACACCACCATCATCATCATCTCGTCATCATTATGAACAACATCATCAACATCATCATCATCGACGGGACACCATCATCATCATCAACACCATCAACATCATCATCATCATCATCATCATCATCATCATCATCGGGACATCATCATCATCGTCACCATCATCACCATCACCATCATCATCATCGGGGCACCATCATCATCAGCACCAGCCTCATCACCATCATCGGGCCACCATCATCAACATCATTATCATCACCTCATTATCGTCCTCATCATCAGCATCATCATTATCATCGGGACACCACCAATGTCGTCATCATCATCAACATCATCATAATCGGGACACCATCGTCATCATCATCATTTCATCATATCATCATCAGAAACACCATCATGATCATCAACATCATCATCCTCATCATCATCATCATCGGGACACCATCATCACCATCAGCAACATCATCATCAACACCATCATCATCACCACCATCAACATCACCATCACCATCACCATCATCATCACCATCACCATCGTCAACATCATAAACATCATCATCATCAAGATTATCATCATCATCATCATCATCATCATCATCATCATCATCATCATCATCATCATCATCATCATCATCATCATCATCATCATCATCATCATCGGGACACCGACGGGACACCGGCGGGACACCGCGCGTCACCGGGCCCCGGTGAGGAATCATTTGGTCCGGCCGCGCCGGAAGCGGGACACTGGCGGGACACCGCGCGCCACCGGCCCCAGTGAGGAATCATTTGGTCTGGCCGCGCCTCAGCTACAGGAGACTTTCTTCTCGCCCACCCCCGCAACTTCGCCTCGCCCGCACGCGCGGCACGCACGAACACGAAACCGAAACCGATTTCCCGGTAGGGGGGCTCTCCGTCCCACTTCGATCTCACCCCCTCACCTACGATAGTGCTTAACATAGATTGGACCACCTAGCTGGCACCATCTGTATAGCACCACATTGTATGCTAGAACACACTGTTTAAGGTCCACGCTGGCTTACATGTTTGCAGGAAAGACAGTTAACTATGTTGTTTTGTTGTGTGTTCTCTCTTTATCTCTTGTATTGTTTCTCTCTCTCTCTCTCTCTCGCTCTCCTCTCTCCATTTCTCTATGTCTATTCCCCCCCTCCTTTCCCTCCTTTCATCTGCACGTGTGGTACAACGTGGCCAGCCGAGCCATCGTTCGGGTCAAGCCGTTTTCGCCTTGCGCCTCTGCGGCGTAGTCCGCCGGAGTGCCCAGCAAGAGGCGGTGCAGGGGGCATGCGTGAAGGATGGTGCGTGAAGCTAAAGTATGAGCTCGACTACAAGAAATATTCCACGAGAAACCCAACCCTGAAACCCCAGGTCCATTGATTTTTGGTGTGGGAACGTCACGCTGTCCATAGCGAAACCCAAGAAAGCCAGGGCACCCTGGAGGCAAGCAGGTTGTTTCTTGGCATGGGTTTCCACTGTAGCGCCACCAACACGGAAGGGGGGGGGGGGGTCCCACGTGTGTGCGAACGAGGTGGGCCATGCGCGAAGGCGGTCGCTCAGCAGGTGCCTTGGGCGGCAACCGCCAGCGGGGTTTTCGGAGCCGCGAACGTGTCGGGCGGAGGTTGGGAGGAAGGCAGGCACTCGCTGGAAGGAATTGGCTGGAATTCGCTGGTCGAGGAGAGGCAGGAAGGAATTCTCTGGAAGTCGCTGATCTCCAAGGAGCGGGAGTGAACTCGGCTGTCCAACGCCCCGAGGCGGCCGGCCACGAAGGACGGCCTCTCGCCCGACGGCGCTCTGCTCCCGAGCCAGGGACACCGCCGACGGTCCCAAAGTAGCCAGGGAAAGAGCCCTTTTGAACTCTTTGAGGTTTCTCAAAACCTTTCTTGGCGCGGGGCTTGTACTCGACTGCTACATGGCGAGGGTCAGGAGAAGAGGAAGGAGAAGGAAGAAACGGAAGAGGGAGAGGAAGACGGGGGGGGCGGAGGAGAAGAGGCATGAGACAACTTCCAATGCTGAGACAGCCCCTCCGTCAGACTCGCCGCACTCTTCCGTGTCGTTGCTCGTCATGCCGCCCCTGGCGAAGACGACGTGCCTGCACCGAGCCAGCCGCGGCGCGCGCGCGCGCGCGTCGCGAGGCACGTGTCGCGAGGCACGTGTCGCGCACTCGGAGGGCGCGCGCGCAGCGCTGGGTCACGCGGCTGGCCATGCCTGACCTGGATCGAATCGCGGGATCGGATCGGATCTGCAACGTATCGGATCGTGCGTGAATCTTGGCGGCGAGCGAGGGGGGAAGTGAGAAGGAGAAGGCCTCGGAAGTTCCCCAGCCGTTTGAAAAGTTCTACAAACCTTCCCCGAAGACACCGAAAACTTCTCAAAGGCGTGATGGCTTCTGAGAAGTCCCGCCGCCTTCTAAGAAGGCCTTCTCCTTCTCACTTCCCCCTCGCTCGCCGCCGAGAATCGTCGCAGAATCGGCGTGGAATCGAAATCCAGATGCGGGGAGCGGGTCGGAGCGAATCGGACCGCGCGCAGCCCTACCAGCGGCCCATCCAAATCAGACTTTGGGGGGCTTGTTCTCCATATCCTATGGGGAGGAGGAGGAGGAGAATGAGGTCGAGGAGGTCGAGAAGGTCGAGGAGGAGGAGGAGGAGGAGGAGGAGGCGGAGCAGACTGAGGTCGAGGAGGAGGAGGATGAAGCGGGACGCCTCTGCCTCCCTGGGTCCTTCCTTCCTTTCAGCTCCCTTTCTACTCATCCTTTCCGCTCGTACTCAGATTCACTTGCGCAAGCTCGCTCACATAAATGCTCACACTCACACTCGGCCCCACTCGCACTCTACTCCGACAACTCAAACTCAGAATCACTCATGCTCAGGCTCACTCACACTCAGACCCTCTCGTACCCACACTCACTCACTCTCAGACAACTTCATGTCTGGAACCGCTCGCACTCGGATCACCCGTACTCGGACCACCCACACTCATATTCATTCACACGTAGACTCTCGCACACTCAGAATCACTCTGACTCGGACTCACCACTCACACTCAAACTCGCGCACCCATGATCACCGCGATGTAGCAAGCAAAGCACTTGGGCACCGCAAGCGGGAGCCGCCAGGCGGCAGGACACTTGACCGTTCGCGATTCGATTGTGGGGAAGTCTCAAGCGAATCGCTGCTTGTGGCTTCCCCGACTCCTCAGCTTAGAGGGCCCCATCACTTGGGCACCACAAGAGGGAACCAACAGGGGGCAGGACACTGGCCCGTCGGCGCCAAGATAGTGGGGCAGTCTGAAGCGAAACGCTGCTGCTGGCTTCCCCGGCTCTCTAATGTGAGAACTCCACGATCACCGCCATGTGGCAGGCATTGCACTTGGGTGCCAGGAAGGGGAGCCGCCAAAGGGGTAGGACACTTGCCCGTTTTTGCCCAGATTGTGGAGGCAGCCCGAGCGGAACGCCAGTTGTGGTTGCACCGATTCCTTTGTTTTGAGAGCCCCAGGATCACAGTGATGTAGCAGGCAAAACACTTGGGTGCTCCAAGGGGGAGCCGCCAGGGGCCTGGGGGCAAGACCCTTGCCCAGTCACACCCAGATTGTAGAGACTTCTGAAACGGAACGCTTGCTTGGGCTTCCCCAGTTCAAGGCCCCGTGACCACCGCGATGTAGCTTGCATAGCACTTGGGCACCTCAAGAGGGAGCCGCCAACGGGGTAGAACGCGTCCCGGTTCGCGCCAAGACTGTGGGGACGTCTCAAACGAAACGCATATAGCATCAGAGAACATATGGGGACAATCAGAGAACAGCAGAGACCATCAGAGACAAGCGGAACGAAGCACAGTGCAGCAGAGACTAGCACATACCAGCAGTCATATACTAGCAGCGACCATAGCTCATCAGCAGGGCCCAGCAGATACGGTACTCATCAAAGAACAGCAGAAAAAAAAGGCAGAGACCAACAGAGAGCAATGGAGACCAGCGGAGACCCTCAGAGAGCATCAGAGGACAACAGAGGCCAGCAAAGACCAGCAGAGACCTGACCAGCAAAGCCGGGCACGTGTGAGCATCGGCCAGAACAGACTGCACAGCTATTCCAACAGAGGCCAGCAGAGACCAGCAGGCGGCGAGCGGCTCCTGGTTCGCGCAGAACGAGAAGCCCTATCCTTAGGTCGGGCGTGTCCTCCTACATGTGGATTTTGGACGAAAGATACAACATAGTCAAAACATATTCAAACATAGCCCGAAAAGGGTCAAAAATCGTCCCCAGACTATTTTTTGGTTATTTTTGAACATTCCTCCTGGAGAGGGACACGCCAGACTTAACCCTATCCCGGCCACGAACGAATACCGCCCCCACGTTCCGCGACGTGCTGATGCCAGTTAGTCCGGTAGAGACGACCACAGGCCAGCAGAAACGCAGAGCAGCACGGACCAGCAGCGACCATCAGAGGGCAGCCCGGACCAGCAAACAGCAGCAGATGTCGGCAGAGACCAGCATAGACAATCAGAGAGCAGCAATTACCAGCAGAGTTAAGTCGGGCATGTCCTTTTTACAAGAGACATATCCAAACATAGTAAAAACACATCGTCTGGGGACGATTTTTGGATCACTTTTCGACTATGTTCGAATCTTTTTGTTGCCCATTTTTCTATGTTTCCTCCCAAGTCCGCGTGTAGGGGGGCGTGCCCGACCTACCAGCAGAGATCAGAGTGACAGGCACAAGCCAGCAGGAATTTGACAAGCAGAGGCCAGCAGCGTGGGAGAGAGACCTGCGGACCCGCTGCCGAGCGCGGGCGGCCTTGCGCGTGTCCCCCAGGCGCGCTTCCCTAGCTGGCCCGCTGCGTGGTTCCGAAGGGTCCGCGGACCACATGTGCGGGCCTGGTGCTGCTCTGCCCACTCCTGCTCAGAGCCTCAGTGGGTCCTGGAAACGACAGGGCCGTTTTTTTACCGGTTCCGTTTTGCCGTTTTCTTGCTGGTTCAAACGCCACTTTTTTACCGGTCCCGTCGCCGTTGTTTGACAGGTTCCGGCTCCTGTTCCAATCCTGTAACCGTTTTTTTTGCCGTTTCCGGTCGCCGTTTTTTTTGCCGTTTCCATTTTCATTGGACATTTTTTAGAAACGGTGAAAAAACGGCCCTGCCGTTCCCGGGGCCCACAAAGGCTCAGAGCCGCTCATGCTTTGCCACTCACGTTAAGGCGGCATTCAGGTTCGCTCGTGCTCGATCGCCGTCAGCGCCGCCCCAATGCTTCCATGTAGTTGCGAGCGTGCGTCTGGTTGCGCGACTAGGCGTTTACGCGCACGCTCTGCCAGAGGTCTAGCACACAATGCGATAGCAGCACTGGGCGGCACAGTGCAGCAGTCGGCGGAACTCGTCAGCAGGCGGCGGCGAACATCAGCAGAACGCATCACGCACACTCGGACTCGCTCTCACCCAGCCGCCCCCTGGCGAAAACTCGCTCGCACTCAAACATCCACAGCGGGAGGTCCAACAGAACGAGATGCACACATGGCCGATTCCTGAACCCACAAATGTTAATTATCATCTCTTGGAGGCGTCTTTTTATTTCCGCCGGCTTCCGCGCCAGCCTTTTGCCGGCTTCCGCTGGCGGAGGCGGCCTTGTTTTACTTCCGCCGATCTTCCACCGCCTTCCGCCGAGGAAGAGCTGGCAACTCCTTCGATCCTCGAAGGCAAGGCCCTTTCTGGAGCGCCTCATATTCGGCGGCGAGCCAGGGGGGGAAGTGAGAAGGGGCGGGCCTTCTCAGAAGGCTCCGAAATTCCCCGGCCTCCTGAACAAAAATTCTAAGCCTTCCCCGAAGACGCAAACAACTTCTCAGAAGGCCGGAGGGCTTCTGAGAAGTCCCGCCGCCTTCTGAGAAGGCCTTCTCCTTCTCATTTCCCCCCCTCTCTCGCCGCCGACACGTGGGGATCTCCGCGCCGAGTAGCTTCAATCGCGGAGTTCATCGCCGACGATCGAGGAGCATCGGGCACTCCGTCCTTCGGGGCATCCTGAGGCCAAGCCCTCGCGGGCCTCTCCGAGGCTCCCGCGCGCGGGGACCTCCGGGCAGCCTGCGGCAACCTCATGGGGGCCTCGATCCGCCGGCGGACTGCTGCTTCCATCGGCTCCACGCAAGAGTGACCCTGGGCAAGAGTCAAGAGTCAACCCGTAGCATAAGGACGCACGATAAGGATGCCAGGGCCTTGGAAGGCCATTTCGAAGCTTTTCGAGCGGGGCGCGGTCAACGAAAGTGGCCCATCCTTACCATGCGGGTCGGCTGTAAGAGTGACCGTTGGTGCGCAGCTTCTTGGGGGGCCACGCGGGGCCAAACACAAGCGCGCAAGAGGCCTCTGCCGCCTCGCGCTCGGCGCAGGCCGCGTGCAGGTCTTCGCTGCGGTGCGCCGAAGGGGCAGCGCAGGTGGGGGGCCTGCACGGCAAGCGCACATGCGCAGTGAACTGCCGGCAGGGCACGATGCGGGCGAGGGGGGGGGAGGGGGCGAATTGGGCGGAGCCCCCGCGCGAACGCGCCCGCCGAGGCCGACGGTGGGGCTCCCTGCGGGACACGTTCTGCGTGAGGGGTGTGCTTGAGATGGGCGGCAGCGGCGACTCACGGCGTTGCGGGTTCAAATCGAGGGCCCCAATCCACGTGAGGGTTGGGTAGAAAGCGCAAGCCGGGGGGTCTGGGCAAGCGTTTGGCACCTTCCCATTGCCTCTGACGACGGTCAACAACTCGAGCAATCATGTCTGGTTCTCCTCCTCATGCTTCTTCTCCTCCGCCTTCGTATCTTGCTCGCCCTTTTCGCCCTCTCCCCTCCCCCTCCCCCCTCCCCCTCCTACTCCTTCACCTGCTCCTCCTCTCCCTCCTCCTCAGCATATCCGCTCTTCCTCATAACTCTTCCCCGTCGCGCAACCCAGACGCGTCGGTAGCGCAGGCCAGACGTTTGGCCCAATACTTCCTCACCGCCCACGGCTTTGAAGTTGACGGACGAAACAATACCAAGGATGGAGGGCGGGACGTTTCCAAAGTATAGCTGCAGTCAACCCGTATAGCAAGGATGTGCGACAAGGGTGCAAGGGCCT